TCCTCCTCCTCCTCCCATCCTTTCTATTCACTTTTGTTCCCTCTTTTCCTCCCCATCTCCACTTGGCCTTTCTTTACTCCAAACTCTTTCTTTCTTCTTCTCTTCCCCCTTTACTCCACCTGTACTTTCTCCCACCCTCTCCTCCTCCTCCCCTCCCCTCCCTTTATTCCTTTCATCTCTTCCTCCACAAATACTGGGAGTAAAATGCGCGGGTGCGATAGCAAAGTTTTCTGAGGGATTATTTCCTGGAGTTTTAATTTCTTCCTGTGTGTCAGGTGACTGACAGTCGAACGTAACAAAGCTCCGATATGAAAACATTCCACTCAGCTTAGAGAAATCAGGAGGAAACAGAAAACGTCCTCGTGTTTATTTTGGATTATCTCTCTCTGTAGAAGCACTTTTTTCTCATACTCAACAAGAAAAACTGAAGAAGTAAAAACGTCTTCCTGTAAAAACTTCCGCCGACAGACAGCCGACCCGTCGGCTCCGACTTCAGAGGATTATCCTTTAACCCCCTGAACTCTGATTCCACCTTAAATTTCTCCTTTGATAGGTTTGAAAGGTTCAAAGGCTGAAACAAAATCCTGCTTTATACGACAGCATCACATATTCTGTAGGGATTTATTGCAGAACTTGAGTTAGGTGTGTTGCACTTTGAAACCTGAGCCAGAAAGCGTGCGGTAAATATGAATATGATGAATTAAATTATGGGTCATTAAATGCAGCTGCAGCTCGGCTTAACTAGACTCATTTAAACTTCCCCTCTAGTCAAGAATCAGTGTTTGTTCTTGTTCCTGCAGTGTGATGTCTGAATGATGGATGTGCACAGTTTGACACTAAAAGGATGTTTTTACATTCATCTGCTGAAAGAAGAAAGTCAGATCTGTCAGTCAGTAGAGATTCAGTTCTCCCTTTTTAAAGGACCAGTGTGTAGGGTTTAGTGGCATCTTGCAGTGAAGTTGTGGTTGTGTGAAGGTGATTGTAACTAACTGAACACCACTCGAGTCTGTATTTGACAACCTAGGAATGAGAACAAGCTGTAAAGAGTATAGGAGAAACTGCAGTGGCCGCACAACACCAAAATATCAGGGATTCAGTTGCTCAGTCATTATGTGAAACCTCCTTTTCATAGTTTCAAATAATGAATTAAAACCAAAACATATCAGAAAAATCCACACTTGAACATCAGCGTGATAAGAACTACATATCTGACAGAAACCATCTTGGGGGAAATTAATATTTGGTGAGTACTTTTGATTTTTTTAGTTTGGCTTATCTGCTAACATGGAGGCAACAGACTTTATGAGCTATACTGGCGTCAGTCATCAGAGGGTGACTGAGGTGTTTTGGCTTCACCTGTTGGTGTGCCAATAGTAGAAACATGGCATTTCCACATGGTGGACTCCATGTAAGGTAACCCACGGCTTCTGTAGATAAAAACGTCTCATTTTAAGGTAAAAACACAACAATTCTTATTTTCAGCTGATTATACACTAAAGAAAACCTGAATGAATTTCCATTTCTCCCAGTAGATCCTCCTCAATGTTACACACTGGACCTTTAACATCTCTGATTTTATTAGAGCCTTTTAGAAAATGTTACAAATCATTGAGCAGGACACATTTATGGCAATATGTGATTTACTTTTTATTTTAGAGGCCTTAATGGATTTGTGAAAAAGCAAAACCCGACTTGTATGAATGAATTTTTCAAAAAGAGCTCAGATCCAGTCTGGTATATATTCCTGAGGATGGTAACTGATCCAAAGAGACAAGTGTCATTGCACAAACAATGCTCTTTGTTTAATTTGGAGTTCTTGTTGGATTCAAAATATGGTCGACAAGAGCACGTCAACACACACAGAGAGAACAAGAACACTGGCAGCAGCGAGGTGCTCCACTGGAGCCGAAGAGAGAAACACTTTTTATTACAATTGACTGTCTCAAAAAAAACATGTTTCTCTTCTGACGCCGATAATGCAGTTTGTTTCGATCCACTCCGGTATCAGACATCAAACAGATGCAACACTTGGAAGCAAGAAGAGATAGAGAGATGTAGAGAGATGACAACAGCAGAGGAAGAGAGAGAGAGAGAGAGAGAGAGAGAGAGAGAGAGAGAGAGAGAGCTGGGAGGAAAGAAGTTTACAATGAGATAAAAGGACAAAGCAAAGGAGGTCCGTGAGGATTTTAAGTTGAAACTTAAAACCTAACTTTTAAAAGAAAACATAACTCAACCTTCCTCTCGCAAATGAAAAGTATATTCATAAGCAATAAAACTGAAGCGCCGTTGCTCATCAGGGGTTTTGCTGCTGCAGCCGTACTCAGTCTGCTATGACCGAGTTGCTTATGATGACTAATATCTGGAAACTTTAGATATACTGTTGCATAAGTCAGTTCAGTGTGTTTTGTCTTTTTTAGTTTTGTTATCTACCCCAAAGGCAAATTTCAGTCACCTTGTGATGGACAATAAAGGTTTTCTGGTTCTGACTCTGATTTTGTGCTGATAGATTTTTTTTTTTTTTATCATTTAGCTTCATCTTGTAGTTGCCTCTTGTGGCCACATTGGCCGCAACCTAGAACCAACATTTCTATTAGTTTCTTTTAGCTTAGAGTAATGTTACATCCCTTCGCTTTCCTGCCAAGAGTTAGATATAACGATTGACACCACTTCATTTTTTGTACACTAAGTATGAAGCCAGCAGACTGCTTAGTTATCTTAGCTAGCCGTTGCTGATTGCTTTGGTGATTTGGTTGGTTAGGATTAGACATGAGGATAGAGGTGGTGAGAAAAAATGTCAGTGTCAGAGCCAATCAGAGAAAGAGTACGGGCAGAATACGGGTGGGAAAAAATAAACGTAACTGCATTGCTAAACACAAAGCGGTGCTGAGAATGCCTTTATTAAAATGGATAAAACAAGGTCAAAGTATTGGTCAGGGGTATGTTGTGGTTATGGTTGTGCTGAATTATGATACTGGCACCTCTTTGGTCAAATTCAATCTGCAAGAAAACAGTAACATCCTGAAGTCTCTAAGTTTGGCAACTGGTCCTGGCCAAGAAATAGCTAAGCTAAGCTAACTGGCTGCTGTTGGTAGCTTCATACTCGTGTACAGACGTGTCATCTCCTCTTCCTCGAATGGGTTCTCCGCTGAATCCTGTAAAAAGCACGGAGGATGTTTTTTTTTTCCCATCCAGCTCATCACCAGTTCCAGACTCAGGGACCATTTATTGCCCTTGAATGAACCGCAACTTTTGTGTATTTGTGCTACATTCTTTATTCTTGGAATAAGGTAGCAGCTACTTTTCCCCCGGGTCCAACAAAACACTGAGACTTTTATATGTGTTATGTGTCTTATTTGTATGTACGAGACCATACAAACCTTTGTTGGATATATGAAAGTTAATTGTCTCTGTGTTTGTGTCTATGCAATAACTGCTTTTACACACAAATTCTACCCATATAGCTGTGTTTTCATTAATGTGAAATGAGTTCTAGAAAATGTACTGTATGATTAAATAAGACATTATTTAGGGATGAGTACACTGTTACCTGTATCTGTTCCACCAACTAAATTATTTATGAGTTACTGACACATTTTAATCTGATAGCGCTTGTATTTGTAAAAAGTACATAATGCATAACAGATAATCATTTCAGCCTAGCACTCCCCCAGTTATTATACAATAAAATTAGACATTTTCTGATTTATCCATATTAGCCACCTCTAGCAAACATTAGGACCCCCTGGGTGTTTATGACCATACTGACCTGCAGCTGCTGGACCGGCTTTTTGGAAAGAAAACCTTCACATTTTGCTGAATCTGGGTCCCAAACTGCTCATTATTCACAACGTTGTCCCTCTTTTGTAGTAGGTTTCACATTTTGTAGTACTGTCCAAATTTCTGTTTACCCGAAACAGTGGATTCAAATGATCCCACGGTGCCAGGAAAAATGGTGTACAATTGAATGTCATGAAATGAAAGCCAACGGCCGTCATTGCATTTCACTGACGAGGGAAAGAAAGCAAATTCAGACAGCTGCTGGATGAAAGGAGTGACCTGAGCGCTCTCCAAAATTGTTTGATTTGGCCATTTGATACACTACATTAACCTCTTCATCAAAATCCCCCGTATAGTGCGTTGTGATTTGCGAGTAAGTGACTAACATCTGACAAATGGTCGGCTGCTGTGTAAAAAGATGAGGCAGTTATTTGGTTAGAAAAATCCTTCTTGAAACTCGCTGTTATGGTAGCAGCTTGATAAAGCTTGTATGAAGTGCAGTGATTCCCAGCCGGGGATGTACTTTGGTTGTTGTCAGGGGGTACATGGATAACAACTGTATTTCTGTCAGAGGTAGAAGCACAATATCTGTTGTGGAAACCGTCAAGACATGTGGCTACAAATGAGAAAATCAATATGTTTAATTCAACATATTAATCAAGCCTTAATTGGTGTCTTGGTGGTATCAACAGTTGATTGTTGAGTCTCATGTCCAGGGCGTTTTTTGGTTGCCAAAGCATTGATATTGGACAAATAATTGACCCCACCTTTTAAGAGTGAGTGAAAACTATTTAGCAAGAGAGCAGCGGAAATTAAATAGTTAGCTAATTACCAATTTCAAAATATTTATTCATTACTTTTAGCTAAGTAATGGTTAAACGGTTGGAACGTCCAGATTTTGCCCCTCCATGTGGTTGTAGTACGATTGCAAACTTGACCAAACTGAAATAAACACTGACAGTTCAACTGTATGAAACTATTAAATCCATTTTTTTTATATCATTAATAGTTAAATAACATTCAGTTTTAAGTGAATTCAAATGAACTAGACCCAGGTGAACCAAATCAGGTGAACTAAAACCCAAAACCAACACATGCCGTTTGCATTGCTGAACATTTTAGTTTAACATTCATCGTCATTCCTTGAACCATTACACGCCCTCCTGAAAGCCATTTATCTTCCTTTATTTGACAGTAACACAGTTAATTTGTTTTCCTCACAGTTACCTGGCGGTGACTCAGTTCAGTCCCATCCATGCGAGGAAGGCCTTCCCCTGCTTCGACGAGCCCATCTACAAGGCCACGTTCACCCTGACCCTCCGCCACGACCCGCAGTACACCTCACTGTCCAACATGCCCGTGGAGAGCAGCTCGCTGTCCGACGAGGACGGCTGGGTGACCAATCGCTTCGCCCGCACGCCCCGCATGTCCACGTACTACCTGGCCTGGGCCGTCTGTAACTTCACCTACAGAGAGACGCAGACCGACAGTGGCGTGACGGTGAGTGTCGACAAACGCAAAACTGCAAGTACTGCTGGGATTGTGGTTTTAGAGTTCCTTTATTGCAGCTTTACCTGAGAGAAATAACTGCTTTTAAGGCTGAAGATGTGAAGAATGTTTGTTTCAGTGACGATAGGACAACTGTTAGAACAGGACAAGAAAGAAAGAAAGAAATTAACACATCTAAAAGAAACAATAAATTGATATAAGATAGAAGTCATGGAGATAAAAATAAGAAAATTGAGCAAGCTCAAACATTAAAAAGGTAGTTTTCTAACTCTTGTCTCCTGATCTTGTCCTAATTATCTGCTTCTCTTAAATAGAAATGTAGTTTTTCGGTGCTCTTATTTATTTTTTTAAAGCACTCATCCTGTGATCTTGACTTAATGATCTCATTAAGTACCAAAAACCAAATGTTGTTGATTCTGTGCCTTCTTCTCCTCTCTGTCATTCCTGCTCTCTCCTCTTCTGGGACTCCCGTTTGTCTCGAGGCTGAGAGGAAATACCTCCTATAATGAAACCTGTGTGGATAGAACGCGAAATACAGACGCTCTTTATCTAGACGTAATGACACATTTAAGCCCTGATCGCCTCTAAACTGTGTGTCATATCATTATATCTTTTGCTCTGGGGATAACGTGCTTAATATGAGCCACAGTCGTCACACTGTGATAATATTAAACATGATGATGCCAGCTGAATACCTCTCGCTTACAAGCATAACGGAGAAACTACTGTGGCCTCAGATCTCATAAAGATTGTGATTGATTGATAGAAACCCTCTGTAGATAAAAACTCAATCTCAATCTAAGGTAACAAAAACATAAGGATTCACATTTACAGGGGATTATACACTAATGAAAACATGCCTATGAATATTACATTACATTTCAAAACAGTAGATCCTCATATTTTGAACTCTATAAACGTATATCATTTGGTTTGCATAACAAATACAAGTCTTTAGTCCTCAGAAACTTACATTTTGAGCAATTTTAGCATTCAAATCTTATTCTTTGAGCCATTACAATTCCTCTGCACTATACGATCTCAGAATCAGTTACACTGAATAAACTCTTTTGTTGTTAATATATCTGTGTAATCAGTGACGTTTGGGAGTTTAAATCGTTTACTTTCAGAAGTTATAATCACGGAGGTCTTGAGAACACATCTTGATAAAAACTAGTTGCTATCACATGAAAACAATGCTTAATTAAATTATCAGGGCAACTGGCTTAAAATGCCACAAATGATCTCGAGATAGTGGCTGATGAAGGACTAAATCCTGAGAAAACAGTTTAACGTCTCCGGATGATATAATTAAGGCACATAGCAGCATTTGTTATCTCAGGATAACACGCCGCTTAAGATGTGAACTCGAGATAACAGTTTCAGAGATTAGAGATAATTAACTTCCATACAGAGGTCGCCATAGCTTCATTACTTCTTTTCCCCCTGTGTAGCTTAGTTGTGTGAACGCTTGGATGTGCTGGGAGAAAACAGAGGAATGAATTTTAGTCGGTGCCAAATTTGAGAAGGTTTGGATCAGGGCTTTTTAAAGTCTGACACTGTCAACCTTCCCTTCAACCAAAAGAAAAATAACTGAGAAAACTGTGCCTGCAGGTTTTCAACACAGGCCAGATATAGTATATGAATGGGCAGAGTTCAATGTCACTCTTCCCGGGAAACAAGAACCATATTTCTCAATAATGACCCAAAGTTCTTCGTGCAACATGAAACAAGGTAGCATTTATGGTTTTTGTCACTCCTGTTCTTCATCTTGCTTCTATTTGGGGATAATCACACTCAATTTCTGAAACTTTAGTTTCCATAATGCTCGGTAAACAGGGAATATACCTCGCACTTTAGTATATATTTGTTACATTTTGGTAAATTGGCAGCATTAATAGTACGCCGATTTATCCATTACCTGTTCCTGTTTGCAGTGTACCCATGCATGTACAGACAACTGTCACTGGATTACTTTGATACGGAAGAAAACTTAAAAATGTGATGATTCTCAAGGAAGTTCTGGAGTCGTTTTTCTCTGGTTTCTAAGCAGGTTTATTAACGATGGACATTAAAGATAATTATAAAGGTGAAAGTGTAGGTTACTCTGAGTCTAAAACTATGTGTACCATGTCTGTGTGTTCAGATTCGACTGAGTTATGACTAAAAAGGAGTGCTATTTTTGACTAATTGTAGCAATTGGGTGCTAAGTACGTTAATTACCTCTGTGAGCTGCTGCTGCTGCAACTGCTGGCCATTTTGATAAGTGGCCAAATTAGTGGCCAAACTACAATAAATTACTTCCAGTTATTTTTAGAACACCAGCACGAACGTGTCCCTTTCATCTTGCGCGGTCTGCCCCAAATCTCTCCCTTTGTGCCGCCTGTCAGCTTACAGCAGGAAAATGTCTTGTTTTAAGGATTCAAACATCCGGTTTTAAGTAATTGGAGCCAGAGTCGTCATCCAGGACCGGACCAATGAACTTGCATCAGTCGACACCAGCCTGAAGTCCAACCAGACCAGACAGTTCTATCCGGTTTATGTCTACGCTTCACAGTGTTTATCATGTCTATCGTGTCTGTTATGATTCTGATTTGAAAGTCAGAACCTTCCGCCGCTGCATTCGGCTGATATCCCATCATCCTTTTAACAACCATAACATTTAAAACAGAAATATGCACACGCACGCGTCCACGCTACTATACAAGGACAAATACATGCACGACCTTGTTTCTCCTCCTCCTCTTCTTCTTCTTCTTCTTCCCCTCCTCCGATCATCTCTCTATCAGTGTAATTACAGCTCATCCATCTCGTCTGCCAGAGACTCAAGGACAGCACTATACACACACACACACACACACACACACACATACACACACACACACTCTGCTTGCTTCTCCTTGTTACTGGAAGATAATTTTAGCGAAATACTGTTTTAATGACAATTCATATCTGGGTCATTTATAACCATCACCAGTCTCCACCATTGTCCCTGTGTGTGTGTGTGTGTGTGTGTGTGTGTGTGTGTGTGTGTGTGTGTGTGTGTGTGTGTGTGTGTGTGTGTAGAGTAATCAGACAGTGAGTTTTAGTCTTTGCAATGAATACATTAATCTTTATTTTTGTCCGTTCCCTTTTTAGTCACCAGAAAAACTAGAAGCACCACTTCCATTATTTTACATTCATCAGAGTAAATTAAAGAAATCAATGGTTACACGTCGTAACTCTGGTTCTGGTTCTGGTTCGGGTTACATAGACTGGTGGTTCAGAGTGGGCCTATATCTCAGCATTTTGCTCACTTCTGTGAAGAAATGTACATATAATGTTAAGTATATTGTCTAACAGAACAAGTGTCAGGCTCAAGAAAACACTGAATTTGTCAAAAAAGAAGCCCATAAAGATTGTATGATTGTTGAAAAATATTTAAAAAATACATAATACAGACAAAGAATTGTATAAAAAGTTCCCTAAACAGGAAATAATCTGCTCAGAATTAATCTAAATCACTTTTTTCACTTTTAAACAAACTTCCTGCAGTTCACTGTTTGAGTTCATTGTACAGTTTTGAATATAATATGAAATATCCATAAAATATGTCACTTAGTCAGTTTACTAAATGATAGAAAGGGGGCTTAGACTCTATATGTGTGATCACTTCCCTTTAAAAGCAGCAAAAAAAATGTAGAAACCTATATTTCTGCATCCACTGTTGTTTCTGTCTGGAGTCTGCATATTCTTCCCACACTGTGTATATATATATATATATATATATATATATATATATATATATATATATATACATATTAGGAGTGTGTATCTTGCAGAGGATTTAATAATATGTATCAGGGTACACGGGCTGCAATCCAATACAAAAATTATACAGATATGATTTAAAGCCGATACTATATGATTTGATTTAACTGTGATTTAATATTGCAGCAACTTTGATTTGAAACAGCTGATACTTTTAGTTGGTCGTGAATGAAAACGGTTTTAGGTAATCCAATTTTTAAAGAAATGCTGCCAACAGGATATTATTACTGTATATGCTTTGATTCCCAAGCCTCTGTATTCCAGAGTATTTCCAACGTCGCTGTAACAGCCCATGTGCTTATAAAGAGAACCACTTATTCAACCAGGAGAAGCTGGCTCCAATCTGCTTTGGGAATAGCGTTAGCAGCTAATAGCCTCAGGTTGACTGTTTTTTGTGAACACGTAAGCCTCTTAAATCAACAGCAGCAGCATACTGTATGTGCATTTTGCTGCTGCAGATGATGATGATGATGATGATGATATACTAAATTGCTTGTCTTGCATCACAGCAGCTCCATTTGCAACATCACAGAAAAGACATAAATCAGGGCAAGAAACGTGATACATTTAACAGAAGACAATATTCAAGACCTTTCAACCTGCATTTAAACTGGGATTAAGCTCCATATTTAATTTTAGGATTGACTGGTGCACAAAGGAGTGCTTCAGTCTAATCTTGTTAAAGCGCAAAACGCTGTATCTCCGGCTTGTTGGTAAGAGTTTGTATTCACTGTTCAGGACGTGGTCGGGGTCGCAGACAATGTTGCTGGCCAGCCTTAATATATTATTACTGTACTGATTCATAGAGTTTCTCAAAGGGCTGACCTACATTCTTTGCACAGGCATTCAATGGAGCAGTTTTGACTTTAAAGTAGTGGACAAACGTGTGTACCATGAAGGACCTGTAATATTACGATTTCAGGCCACATTTGTTAGGCTGTGGACATTTTTCCAGGAAGCCCATTTCACACTGGTTAACCCACTAACATCTGGCTTTTGTCTTCAGTACAGTCGGCATTCATCAGGGTTCACAAGCGTTCTGGAAAACCTGGAAATTTTGAGATTAGTTTGATCATGGAAACACCTGGAAATTGATTGCCCTGGAAATAATCTATGTTGTCCTGTAAAAGTTTGATACTACTTCAGCTCCTCGCTCAGATCGCCTAAACCTAGGTGTGTAT